GGATGTGCATTGAATGTATTTATGAAAATCATGATTTGCTTTATTTATGTAAACCATGTATCTTCAGACCCTATTATTTTTGGATTATAGCATGTAGAAAATATTCTATCAACCGGTGGTGGACAGTAAAAATTATTTACAGTGCTGGATGATGATGATCTCTCAAATGCTGAACAACGATACATGGGTTGGACCCTTTTGCTGCCACTTTTTGTCTGCATCCTTTACATATCAGATTTCCAGTATCTTTAGTTAGTCCTTATTCATTTTTTTAAATTACACTGTCTTTAGACCGAGTCCATATATAAACTGAAGTTTACATTCAGTTCACAACTCCACAATACCTGCCTCTGTCTAGCACCACATCACCATAATAACTGCCTCTCTATTGAGTCAAAGATGTTGTTTAATTGTTCTGGTGCAACTTCACACGATCAACAAGGTGCATGTGAAAAAGAACAGTTATTTTGGACAGTACCAGTAACACTTGTGACATCAAGGGGTCAAAACAAACAAAAGATGGAATTAAATTTTTCCATTTCAGTGCACAGGCCTTTATCATGACTAAAAGGTTACAGGTGTACATAGTTTCCTTTAAATACAAACATTGACTAAATTCATACTTGCAAACAACCGACAGAAAAATTATAATAATATATCATCCACCAATCACAAAATTCATCAAACAAATATCTAATATTTTTTTAAATGTGAATTTATATATTTTTTAATTCCATCTTTGTTCTGACCCCTTGATGTCACAAGTGTTGCTGGTACTGTCCAAAAATAACAAATTTCTATTGAGTAAGACAAGAGGAACTTGAGAGTTTGCACATTTAGACTTAGACAAGTTAATTGACTTAGATTTTTTTTTTTTAAATAGATGCTTATGTTGTTTATGTGACAGAAACACCTGTTCCCATTGGCATCATTGTTGGTGCCGTTTCTGCTGTCATCCTGTTGATTGGCATTGGTGTTGTTGGGTGTTTGGTGTATCAGAAGAAAAAAGGTGAAGGCACACACTTATGATTTTATGTCACTATCCCGTCTTTACAATATATTTCACACATTTGTGTTCTGCTCTGTTTTGATATTCTTGGGTGAAATCACTGAACTTACAGTTCAACTCTCTGGTTGTTTTTCAGGGTTAAAAAAATTCAAAGGTAAGGGTTTCTTATAATATCTGTTTGAAAGAGATGCCTCAATAACAGATGGGTTCTGCCACTGAGCACTTATATAGGTTTATATTAGTGTCTTCATATATGTAAATCTGTATTCTTTTGACCTTTTAAAAATAATAATAAATGTAGACATAGTGAATTAATATATCTGATGTTGTAACAAATTTATTGATTCTCTACATACATACAGCAACATTCCTCATCATTCTTGAATGAGCAGTGGTGTGGCAATTTTTTATGTATTTATCATTGTTTTCCAGCCTCTGATATCTCTGACTGCTCTAGTGAAAAAAGCACCAGTAGTCTACTATGTAAGTGTCAAATTATTTGTCAGATAGACCTACTGTCTATTCATGACCGTGAACTAAAATAATGTTTGTTTGTTTTTTGGTAATTTTAAAGACACAAGGAGTGTACTGAAATTTACAATATCAATTCACAGCATCATTTAGTAGTATGAACTGGTTTATATGTTTCATTTTCTGTTGTAGCTTCTGGAAGTGTCTCTAGCACCTCAAGTTAGACATCTCAAGGCCTAAAATGTAAGTGTAATATTATTATTCAGTACACCGTAATGTGAAGTGAACCAAATGTAATGCTGTTTATATGTTCCTGTAATTGTAGGATACCTGAGAACTGATCCTGAAAATAATGCTCAGGCTTCTGCTGGAGATCTATCAGACGGATATGTATCTTTTTCTCTCTTTCTCTCTTTCTCTCTTTCTCTCTCTCTCGCTCTCTCTCTCACTCACTCACTCACTCACTCACTCACTCACTCACTCACTCACACACACACACACACACACACACAAACTAATACAATCACACACATAGAATGATATAAAATTATATATATTAATATATATTATTTATATATTAATATATATACGGGTGGATTTCATTTCAGCAGTGGCGGGTAACAGTCACTCCCACTTTGGTGGGTTGAATTTTATATACAGTAACAGAGCTCGACATTAATGCTGGTCTGGGACAAATTGATTTTTTGAAGGGGCAAGTGAAAGAGAATTTTACTTGCCCGGCCGGACAACTAATCTGAAGAAACATACTGCTGTAAATATGTCGTTTTTATATTTATAACATATAGCCTAGTTAAGCAACATGACACGACCAAGAGAGTGCAGTTTTCCCTGAACCAGTATGACTGCAAATTTGACATTGATTTCATGCAAGAGTTCAAATGAGTAGTTAGTAATAAGTGACTTACATTTTAGTACAATATTATCAATGTTGACTGTTTTTGCTCGATTTGGTTAACGAAAATATTTCTAAACAAAGATCACAGCAGAACAGTCGTGCATCTCTGAGCAGCACACAGCTCAGTTTCCTTACTGAATGATTCAGCGTTTTTGAATTGATCATTTGAGTCAATGATTCAGTGGTCTGTTCATAAAGACAGGCACTTGCTTCATTCTTGAATAAATCAGCAGTCTGAACAAATCGTTTGAATGAACACCTCAATGACTCACTCATTAAGACCATCTACTTGTGTTATCTACTAAAAAACTGAATTAAAACACCAAGCTCATTAGCATTATTTATACTGTTGTAAGTTTGCAGTGTAAATGCATTCATGCAACTGTCTGTGTAAATGCATCTAAATGCCACTTCAGCTGCTTCTGTTTCTTCTGCAGTGGAAAGATTGGTTTTGTTAATACTGATTTCATTTTATTGGTAACAGTCCTATAGTGTCTTATCATATTAAGTGAAATGATCGATAAAATGTAAGAATTTGATATGAAAAATGATGCATGCATTTAATAAGGTCAGGTAAAATGCCCTTTTATAGGCAAAAATTACCTGGAAATCAATTAGAATAAATTTTAGTATGCAGCTATTTTAGTCATATAAAACATAATTTCCCAACAACAAAATTGTGGCCAGTGAAAATGCTGAGTGGCTAGACATTTTGGAAAACCACTAGCACAGTGGCTGGTGAGCAAAAAAGTTAATGTCAAGCCCTGTATATCATATATATTTTTACACACACACACACATACTCACTTTTTGTTATAATGCAGGGCTTCAGACTCTGTTTACATGTTAAAAATGACTAAACTATGGAAAACACTCCAGAAACAGAATGAAACAATGATATATGATTAAACAGTGCACCACAAACAAGTTATCTACAACATAATCTAGGTTAAAACCAACCTAAATTCAAACCTATTATATTATAATTATATTATATTTACTAATATATTTATATATTTTATTATATGTTAAAATTTGGACATGAATTGCCGTCCAATTAGTTTTTCTCCTATGTAACATATTCTAAATAGCTAAAATTGTAGCAGATAGTCACTGGTTTTGTTTGGGCTTCGTCTGTGTTTCATTCCTGTTTTTTACTTTTTTGATTAGTTAATAATATGCTATAGGAAAATTATCATTGCTACTTATACTGTTAAATTATTGAGGTAGTTGTTTTTTATTCAAAGGATAATTTTAAGGTATTTTGGTCACTTGTCATTTCATTTTTTTAATGCCCACAAATAAATGTTCTGAAGCATTATACTACTATAGCAATGTATATCTGTGTCTGTGGCTGCAGGTGGCTGACTCTTAAGTAATGGGACAAAACTCCCACTTTCTCACAAAATGACGTAGTTATTTGTGGGCATATAAAATCAGATTTTGGATTTTGATTTGTGACACTATTTCTAATCTTGAATATACCAAATAGGATGGATGGAAGGTTAATTTGGAAGGCATTCAATCTTTCATCTTGGTCACTTTCTCTTTGTCTCTCTGCAATGGACACATCAAATGCATACACTTCCGGAATGAACGGTGTTGGCTGCCGCTGTTCCAGGAGGATATTACGATTTTATTGTGTTTTATTGTGTTCTGTTTTACTCCGCTGTTTTATTGTTATAAATGCGCAATATTAATTAAGAGTCTGCCTACCTGATATCTCGGTAACGTATTTCCTGGAATTGCCTGACTGTCTGCTCTGTCCACTCGTTGAACGTTGAGTGGGAAAATGATGATCAATAAAGTGCCAACTTGGATCACATTCCTCTGGATTATACTTTTCTCTGTCTTTCGCTCATACGGTGGCGGAACTGTATCAGCTCTGTTTTCATCTTTGTGAGTCGCCTCCTGCTCTGCACTTTCATCAGGATATCTATGAAGGTAGAATGACGTCAAAAAGATTTGCATACGCAGG